GTCTAATTCATGGATTAAGAAGTGAGCTAATTTGTATTAGTATAAAATAAAAGACTAAAGTTTTCCATACAATACGCTAATTAAAGCACTCAAAAGGTCAAGCAGGTGTTCAAGTCTGTGCATCCATTCGGCAATTGTGATTTTCAGGATAGGCCGAAATATATTTTGCTAAGGGTATCTCTCACATTCGTGTAATTAGCCCTTTAGAAATAAATATCCAATTATTTGCATGTTTACGGGAGCCTATAGACCGTAAACCTTTAAGTGATAGTCATAGATAGGATCAATTCGAATATGGCGTGGATTGCACGGCCTAAAGTCCATGTTACTATTAATATTTCATAGAGTGCGGGTACTTCATGACATATCCGCCACCACTATTAAGATCCTCTCGTTTAGACCGCATCGGCTTTGGGTCAAAATCGGAGCAACACCACATTTTTACTTGTAAATTTACGAAATCTCACCTTGATAAGGAGTTTCGTTGGTTGTCCCAAGAACACTCGTTCGGAGCTGGATTTTATATAGAAAAAAGCCTACTCATCAGTAGCCGATTAGATTCCCAATATCCATTTCTCGATAAAAAAGCGTCAAATTTTGAAATTTGACGAAAAAACCACCAGGACACTTGACCAGAGGTCAGCGAGTCCTCTAATTAGTTAAATTTTTATTGCATTCCTTATGAATTCAATAAAAACATTTTTGGTAATTATGAAAATCTATAAATATACGAATATCAAGTAGGCTCGTTCAGTGTTGCTCGTAATTATGACTCGCAACGATGTCACGAATTCTATGTTTTAGCTATGCCAATGAACAATAAAATATATAATGCTTTTGTTGCATTCGATCTGGTCAACCTAGATATCAAAGGAAATAAGCTTAGCATGAAGTTATTGTAAAATCATTATCTCTTGGTTTAGTATATTTTTTGCTTTGCTTCTTAAAGTATGTATTCTTGCTCTGATGATGCCATCCACAGTACAGACCAAAGCTTAGCATAGTTTGACGGAGGTCGCAGGACAGTGAGCCGACTTCTTCGCACAATTTAAGTCTTCCCTACGCGGCAATCCTCCTTCGGCTTCAGTTGAGAGCACATTACGAATGCCTTTCTACCAACTTGCCCTTCGAAATGGAAAGTCATGTCACAATATGTCACTCAGAAACTCTTCGAAACCTAATTTTTCTTCTTATTTCAAAATCATTTTTCAAATATGTTTATTTATTTATATATCGAAAATTAAGTATATGATATAAACTGTTGAACAGCCTTGAGTGTTCTAGGAACCGATTTAATGCTTGTTGAGTAAATTTTTCAAAAGAAATTATTATTAAGCATCTACACATAAACCCAGACCAAAATTTGATTGATTTACCTTTGGGTGGTTCTCCAAGAAATTTTTTCTCTGGAGAGTTATTTTGAAGAAAGAGGTATATAGTGTCCAGGGCATTGAGAAAGTATTCGTCCTTAAAAATGAAAGAAAAAAAATTCGCCGTAAAACAAAGCGCGAAAGTTATTGGATAATTATCAGTATAATAACCACTTAGATAATTATTACTATGATAGTATAATCACGTATAATTATTTTGATATCTGTATGATAAGCTAAGAATTCCTCTTCAAAGTATGCTCCACAGTTAATTACTTGCTAAATTTGTTAAAGTTGAGGTTGAAGCATAAAGCTGCATTTAAGAGCTTCATTTCCATTTGTACAAAAGTATTTGGATGAATCCTAGTCTTGAGGAGTAAAGTTAAAGGTCAGCAATCGGTTCCCCAAGTGGTTATTGTTATGGGAGAAAAGAGAACGATGGGACTATCAGATTGTCATAAAGACAGCAGAGCTAGATGTTGTCTTTGCCTGATCTTGGCAAAAATGATGCA